GACCAAGGCTGAAGAAAGATCTATGATCCAAATTTCGTTTAGGACCCAAGATTCGAACATCAAGACAGGCACAATCCGGAATCCGCGCCAAAATTCATCGCTGATCCACGATCCACTGTGTTTTCAAAATCCGCGAATCCGCTAGATTAACCGAAAAAATCCACAATCCGTGCGCTTTTTAAGGCCAAATCCGTCGATCCGAAAACCTATTCACCCCCTTCCTTACTTCAGCAGGCAAGTCAAGTACATTACACAAGGTCTAGTTAAAACTTTTAAAATAAACATTGTAATTGAAGCATGTAATTAATGCTTGCACCGGGGTTCTGAGAGGGGGTATACTACGCAAGCAGTATATTGGTGTATAAGACATTTTACAATCCTTTGCTCTCAAAGTGCGGGCGGAATCAGCGCCTGTTATCTACAATCAATGACGGAAGAAGCTGATACAGGGAAAAGAAATGCAAGACATTTAAAGAAAAACCTCTAGGGTACCATTTTGTTAAGTGTAAAAGGTCAGTTTATACGATTTTTAAGTATTACAAACGTTAAACAAATATTTCGTAACGTGATTCTTTATGAAATATTTGGACTATTGCAAAACCTTCAAACACTATATAACGAATTTGACTCTCCGGTTTACAATTCATCAAAATCTGTTGAGACCTTTAAATCAGGAAATGAATAAGGGGCATTTCGACCTCTTGTGCATGTGATTTCGGTTTGCGGAACGGTCACGCTTCCTAGGTCTTCATGGTCTCGCTACATACATGGACTACTTGTCACTTTATTGTTTTCTAATGTCAACTTACTGATTTATGCGCATACATAACATACAGTCGAACTTCTCTGCAAAGACCACCTTGGTTACAGAGGAAAGTGGCCGTTGTAGAGAGGTGGCCGTTATGGGGAGATAGGGGTGTAATATGACACCTGTTCTTTTCGGGGGTACAAGATTTAAATTTTCTAAAAATGCTTACTTTAGCCTATAAATACGTAACACCATCAATTACATCAATAAAACACAAACTAAACAGAAACAGAGACCAACGACGCGTAGTATGGATCTGACTAGTTTGATGACCTTTTCCAATAAAAAGTGTGGTGTTGAATTCAACGTTCGTCAGAAATTGATTAACTGGCCGTTGTCGAGAGGTTATTTGGGCAGTTGGGACCCGTTTTAGAGGCCGTTGCCGTAGTGAAGAGGTGACCGTTGTAGAGAGGTTAATAATGTATCACGTAACGTTCCACCGGTACCAAAAAAAGTTGGCCATTGTAGAGAGGTGGCCATTGCAGAGAGGTGGTCGTTGCAGAGAGTTGGCCACTGTAGAGAGGTGGCCATTGTAGAGAGGTGGCCGTTGTAGAGAGGTGGCCGTTAGAAGAGGTTCGACTATAGTTATTTAAATCACGAAATCAGACCTTCGCATTTTGAAACTTGACAATGGCATATTGCTGTTATAAACAATAATCACACGGAAACACTCAACGACCTATACTAAAACTGACAAAACGAACAGAATCCCGACACCTGTTACTGTAGTGGCTATAACTTCTGTTAAGGCCACTTCTGCGAATTCTACCGTTCAACCGTTCAACCGTTCAACTCTCTTAACGAGAGACTTGACTAGGGTTTTCTAGCGTCGGGGAAAGGACAATTGTAATAATCTGTAAAAAATAACAACAGCAATAAGAAAGACGCGCGAGTGTTCCAAGGACAGTTGTCCTCCACCCTCTCCCTCTCAAAATCAAGACACCGGATATTCACAGTAATTATTATAGCATTGAAATTTAAAACAGTTCAATCAGAGGCATATCACCTATGCTTCCGGTTCTATTTAATAAAAAGTATTTACAATGTGAAATGTGATTCTATCCTCACCACGACGATCAAACTACACGAGCTACGAGTNTCACATTCTTTAAGTTTCGTTCGAAACACTCCTCTTGGTTGCTTGGCGAAGTACATTGGGTTCCTATGTTCCACAATCCCTTTAGAGACTCCCAAGCTGTATCTAGCTTGACGAACGATGCCTTGATTGCCCAAAATATCTTGAAGTGGTCCCAACAAAAGACGTCACAAATCGACTTCGCTCCTTCACCTGGATTCAAGTAGCACTGGGTGTAAGAAGCAAGAGCTTGCTCTCTTATTTCGTTACAAGTTTGATCTTCTGAGTCCCTCAGCAATGGTACCATAGCAACCTGCTGACATTTACGGACAGCTTCCATCCACTTCTGCGCGTCTGGACTTATTTTGGCTTTTTGTTCTTCGAACACTCTGCAGAACCTCTCGGCATATCTTATGACGTAAGCATTGCCTGAGGGTTTGCAAAGAATTCTCTTTTCAAAGCAATTACGATACCAATAACAGGAATCTCCAGCAGGGCTGTAGCACTCTTGAGGCGGGATGATACTGGAAGGGGCCTGCGGGTATATAGTACAGGTGCAATCGTCTGACACTGAGCCAGAACTTTGGCGATGCAGCTCGAACATGCAAGGGTACCAGCAATAGTGTCGAGTGCGGTCTGCACAGATGTGATCGCGGTCACTTTTTTCTAGGATATGGTCTGATGTCAGGCAGGTTGCCCACTGATACTCTCCCTGGTAGCCCTCGATTTTTAAGCATTCGATGAGACCTGTCGGGCCTTTATCTTTGTCACAAACCTCACTGGCCCATCCACTCGGAACCCCAAGAAGCAACAGGAAAGTGAAAACCCGCATTTCACGCCGAGATGGACCTGTTAACTGTCAATGGAAAATAGCTAAGATGAGGGTCTCGTCCGCAGTACGGTTTTCGCTATGATGCGAAATGGCACTACAGGTAAGAGTCAATGTGGGATACGGTTGTCTGTAAGGGTAACCCTTGCAGTTGTTGAGAGCTAACCACTGCCGAGTCAGTGATATTTAGGCTAACCTGATCGCTATTTAGGCTAACTGTAGTGCCATTTCACCGTTGCGTGTTTTAAACACGAACCCTGCGATCAGGCGTTGGTTTTTTTTCTTTTTTTTTTTTTGGCGAATCGGGGAAGAGGAAAACTGAACGCCAGATACATTTACTTCACGAGTCGTCTGCAGCCCGTTCGCCTTCCCCTAGCTGTTAAAAAGAACGCCTGATCGCAGGTTAGCTAAAACGTATATTATCAATCATAAACACCAATGCTGCTGTAATTAAAATCTCTCGGTTTGCTTAAGGGCATTAACTGAAACACAAATTCTACCATTTTGGAGTCGTACCTTCATTTTTTAAGTGATTTATGTTCCAAATACTCCGGGGATTCGTTACTGATTTCATGAATCTCTAGACAGCTAATTATAAGCAGAAACGTCATCTAGGTAAAAAAAATAGGTCCGCAATGCGAACTTGTGTGGGATCTCAGTCAAATACAAGTTGATGCGCTATGGATAAATCAGAGAAATTGTAGCTTTACAGTGAATATTTTTATATTTTGTCATCTTGTAGTGATGAATGTCGAGTAAAGATACCGTAGAGTCCTGATTATAAGACCTCAAGCTGCAGCCGAAAAAACGGTTACAGGAGAATTGAAACATGTCTGGACTTTAGTTTCCAGGAAATTTGCTCTCTTAGGGTTCGGTTACACGGGGCTCTTTTTACCGTGGTAAATGACCCTTTTACCACGGGGAAACTGCGCTCTTAGCGAGTATGACCAATATTTCCGGAGGTAATATCCATGGATACGTCAAAAAGATCACATGCAGCGCCTTGACATTTAATGCGGTGAGTTGCAATGGTGTTTTGATGTCCAAGGTATAAGAGCAAATCACGATTCTCCGTTTGACATTAATACGTAACCGAAAAGGAAAAATAGTTTTCCTCCGTGTCCCATTTTTGTTACCTTGGCAAAATCCCGTGTAAACCGTTGGTTCATAATGTATACTAAACCTCCCCCCCCCCCCCAAAAAAAAAAAAGGCAGCGGACATATAGCCCAAAGTTATTGGTGGGAAGGGGGGTTGATTGAAGCTTCTGTTTTGTCGAGGGACGAGGTAACTTGCTATTATGCTTTTGTTACATAACTGGGACAACTATTAAGTCTGTTCACGAGCACGACTTTTGAATCCCGTTGGCTTGGGGATGTTTACTGTGGGAACAGCTTTATTTCATTGACTGTGTTTTGACTACATTTGTCCAGGGGTTTGTTGATTAGTTCCAGTGGAGACAAATAGATTAGTTAGCCTTAGCTCTTACACAGATGCTCCCCATCGNCCTGAACCAAGGAACGGCAATATAAATGTTGTCTACTTTTATTCATCAGCGGAAATATTAGAATCGGTCGCTGGTTGAACGGAGTTTGTTTACGATAAATCAGCACGCGATTGCAAATGTGAGCTAATATTCGTGCTTCCAGCTTAGAAAACTGTTTGTAAATTATACTTTTAGAAATTAGCTTTTGACCAGTAAATATGAAAATGTTTAGCATGAAGTTTGAAGGCAAATGCAAATATTTTAGTCCTATTAAACTTGTGAGGCTCCGGAAACTGCACCGTCACGCAACGTATCAACAAATCATGGTTTATAGTGGGGACCTCTATTTGCCAACCATAAATACAGAGGAAAATACTGGACTTTGTCATTATGTTATATATGTCCGTAAAACTTCGGTTGTTAATATAAAAATGTTGATTTTCGCAATAGACGGGAGTTGAAAGCAATGAAATCATTCAAGTATTTAGGAAAGCCTTGGACGATAATTACTTGTAATTTCTATTGTATTTTTAACGGTTTTTAACTTGCCTTAACATGTATCTTATTTTATATATCTTAATTATTCTTATTTATTAGTTTTTAATTCTTAGTCAGCAGGACCCCGTTGATAACAGTTCTTTGTACTGAAGGGTTATCCTGGGGAAATATTCGATGATGATGATGATGATGATGATTATTATTATTATTATTTTCTTCCGACATATTGCAGACTGCGCGGCGGGACATTGCTTAGCAGAATTTTATTTTCCGCGGAAATTGTTGGGCTTTTCAACTGATCGAAGCAATTTCAATGTGACATAATTTAAATATGTAATTGCAGACAGTTCTGTCCGAGAACTGGACCTTTGTATGATTGTTCCTTATTCAACCAAGAATTTCGTACATATACAAACAGAGAGCGAATGTTTACCCACCTCATAATACATGGCGCGTCAAAAATAAATTCAGCAGCGAGTGTCTCAAACACTAAGACCTAAGGCCTAAGACTCCCTCCGAATCTCAAGAACAAGTCAAAATTCGCCAAAAAAAAAACAACAGCCGATAAGAGTAATCAGTGGCAGCCGCACAAAAACCCTCAACTTCGCGATCGTTCCCAGGGTCCTCTCTCATGCCAGTGGAACCCAGTCTACACGCCAAATAGAAACCACGTGACAAACGCGTTGCTCTCGTACACAAATAAAGGAATAAGTATCGCTGACGCTGAAAAAGTGTGGGAAATCCCACACAAAAACACTTTTGATCAATCTCCTGTTGAAATCCATTTTCTTTGGACACGATGTCGTTCATTTGTTTACTTCCTAGTTGTCACGATCCTCCAAGAGCGACTGAACAAGATTTCATCCCATTTAGCAAATACATGAGACGAGAGCGAGCGAAAAAATATATCGAAAGAAGGCATTTTAAATAGTGCTTCATCGCAAGAAACTACTTCAATGCGTTATGTCTGCGTATCTCTTAGCAGAGGTGACTACTTAAGAGCGGTTCAATTTTCCCGCACGCAACTTGTTTGGGACAATTCCAGTCGTGATTAGAATTGTCTCGTGTAGTTCAAACTTGCAACTTGCAGGCGATTTTCATATTTTGGAGCATGTTTTTAACCCTACGACAATCGTGCCCTTAGACAATGTTCAATGATTAATACTGAAACTGCATGTGATTTTTGCATGAAGCGCCAGGAGCGCGAGATACAGCGCCCTGAGCTAGTTACAAAATAAACTGAAATTCCATGACTGCTCAGTCCTGGCGGCAGAAGCCTGAGAATCGAATTGACCAAAATCTTAGAGGCCTTCACGTTCTTTATTCTGTTCAGGCTGCCGGATATTTTACTGTATCGAATTTATGTTTCAGATAGATTCAGTTCAGTGCAGGTTGTGCTGTCCGCTTAAAAAGGTCAGATGAGGCCCATATGAAATCCGCCTCCTTCAGCTCCTTAGCAACGACTATTTGCTGTCAGGCATGTTTTTCTCGATCATTCCAAGAACGCTGAAGAACGTTGATCTTGAATGTCCTTCTCAGCATAGCTTTGCTATAAAGCAATGAAGAGGGACGAAAGAAGTTTGTAAAACTAGAGTGAGTGCAATGTGAATGCCTGGAAAACCTTCCGATTTTTCGATCAGATCTTCTTGCTTCATCGACAGTTCTGGTCTTTGCTTTTGCACAAGGAGTATGCAAAGGCCTAGAGAAACTTAACTTTACTGAGAAGTGAAACTTCGCTCATAAAAATGCAAGAGACCAAAGCATTCACAGTCATGTAATTGCAAGGCCCTTGCACTGATCAAGTAAACAAGCAACATAGCAGATACATTTGTATTTTGTGCGTGACACAAGTCGTGCAGTTAGCATTTACTCTTCGTGTATATAGATTCCGTACTCACCAAAGGTCGTCTACTGGGGGAAACAGTAGTATGACAAATTCCAGCACTTTCCCTGTCCACAGGAATACTGATGCTATCAGGAAACGATCCTGCTTTGTAGCTTACGAGTCCCGTTTTCATGCGCCGACAATCTGAATTTCTTTCACAGAAAGGTGAGGAGGATGGGTATACCATGGGGGTGGGGGAGACCTGTTCAAAGATATTCATTTTTATCAAGTTTCGGGGGGGTAGAACATGATCTCATGGCAGAAATATCGCCTGTTAATACGTTTTGTAGTTAGCGATAATTTTTTTCTTTCTTTCTCTCCAGATCACACATATTCGAAAGAAAAGTTTCTTACTTCCTTTCATTAGAATGTGCTCTCATTCCCAATAAGTTGACATAATTATGGACCGAAATCGCTCTAATTCCTCGAATTCCTCGAATTTCAGTGTGTAATTAATGGCCCGCACATGCGCATAATTAACCGTTTAGAAGTCAATAAAGCTCCAGTCAAGTCTGAAGTATTGAAAACAATGTTTCATTCTGATGACATCACTTCAAATGACGAAATTCTGTTGTTATAAATTAAATTTACTAAGCCTAGCCGTGACGTTCGACAAAACTTTAACCAAATCAATCGCATGTGTTTACCGCACTTTTTTTTCTTTCTTTTTTTTTTCTCTATTTCCAAAAAACTCACTTACAATATATAATTACAATAAACTACTTACAATACAACACTTACAAAAAAACTTACCTACAGTACGTTAATTACAATAAACTACATACAGTACGTTACATAGAATAAAATAATTAATGTATACATGAAATACTTAGAGCAAACTAGTCACTGCACATTACCTAAAATAAACTACTTACAGAAAAAAAACTAATTCTTTCAAAGAAACTACTAAATTACAATACTCTACTTACACCACACTACATTAAGTTGAGAGTATTATTTAAAAATGGCACACACAATTAGACAGGACATATTAGATGCTGCTAAATGAACATAAACAGAAGCATACTTGTTTATTTACCTATTTGTAACTTTTAAAATCCTTTCCACCACCACCTCTTCCTGGGTCAGTACCTCAACAAGTTTTCTCCATTTAATAAAATGTTGTGAAAGCTTATTATTTCCCCTGGCAATTTGAAGTTCAATTCTGCAGATCAATTTAATCCGAGCAATAAAACCATGAACCGTGGGTAGACTCTTTTGGCACTTTTTAGAGTAAATATAATATTTCCCTAATAATAATAAATGGTTTATTAAAGAAAAATTGTATTTAACGTCGAACTTCCCTAAAATTATGTCCCACTCCTTCAATGTTTCAATATAAATACCATTATCTTTAAGCCAGAATAAGACATGTTTTCAGAATTCAGAGGATATTTTGCGGGAAAAGAGTAAATGCTCGATGGATTCTGCTGTTTCCTGACAAAAGGTGCAAATAGGGGAGGCAACTAAGCCAAGTCGATAAAGTTTTTCGTTTGTGACGACAATGCAATTCAAGATTTTGTATTAAGACTCCTTAGTTTTCTATTCCAGAGTTGAAAGGAAGGGTAAAGAGTAAACCTTATTCCATTCCACGTTTATATCAGGGTATTTATCTGTTAGTTTTCTTTTTGCAGTAGGTGGATTTGTTTCTTTCCCAAAAAGATTTCATAACTTTGTTTAGAGGAGATGTCGAGGATTGGAACTTAGTACCCGTTTCCCAGTCTAATTTTGGGATCAGTTGGAATCTCTTCAATCAGCGACGGATCGGTAAAGATTTAGCAAAGGCGAGGTAAGGAGCGAGAAAGAAAAAAAAGAAATATATTTTGTTCAGGAGATAGAAGTGAAGCGCTGCATAGGTTAAAACGAGAAGAGATTTTTGCCCACATGACAACGTCGCCTATCTTAAGAATTCCTAACTTAATCATATCATCTCTATATATAGACATTTTGTCAATGCAAAGATACCTATTGTTCCAAATTATTTCGTTAATCGCCTCGTAAGAAGAGCCAGGTGTTTTTCCGTTTAGTTCGGACCAAGCGTGTAGACATTCCTTGTGGTAAGGTGGTTAGAAGATTTTTCGTTTAGCGGTGTCGAAATTACAATATAAAAGGAAACGTCCCCCAACTGGTGAAAGAATTTTTCCAAGGATGCTTTTCCACGAGCTTGGGCAGTCTTGTAAAAATTTCTTTAGACAGATGACCGCTTAACTTTATCTTTTCCATTCCAGATGAAACCATAGAAAATAGAGTTTGCCTCTTTAATTAGTTCTTTGGAAAGAGGTATAACGTATAACCGATGCTCTATACATAATTTTACGAACTGCAAATGTTTTCACAATTTGAATCCTTCGTAATAAGGACAGGCCCCTCCATTTCCACGTATTAATTGATTTCTTCATGATCATGTCCTGTTTTACATCATAGCCAAAGTACACTCCGAGAATTTTAATGTTTGCGTGAATATTGGGCTTCGGAAAATCTACATCTTGTAAGATACTGTTTCCAAGGGCAAATATTTCTGTTTTCTCATGATTAACTTTTAAGCCTGAACATTCACCAAATGACTCAAGAGTCTCAACCAAGACACTGTGCGAAGAACTGTCTTTGAGAAAGCAAGTCATATCATCCGCAAATGAGGACAGTTTAAGCACTTCCTGCCCGATTTTAAAGCCTTGGATATTATTGTCCTCCCTTATCTTTATGGCAAAATCTCAACAGCTATAATAAATAAATACGGAGATAGCGGATCACCCTGTCTGATTCCTCTTTCTAAAGGAAAATGCCCGGTGGTGAATCCATTGTTCATAACTGCACTAGATACATCTTTATAAAGTGTTCGAATCCAGTGTATGAAGGAAGAGCCGAAGTTGAATTTATGCAAAGTTCTAATTAAAAAATTCAAATCCAATGTGTCGAAGGCTTTCTCAAAATCAATTGCTATCAAAATACCTGGCAAGCAGTTACGTTTCGTATAATCGACAACATCATCAGTTGTCCTTAGTGCATCAAAGATCGATCTACCTTTAACAAAAGCATTCTGGTTTGCGTGAATTATGTATGGCAAGACTTTTCCTAAACGTTTAGCTAATACTTTAATACTCTGTTTACCGGTACTTGATTTCTGTAAGTGATAATGATAATGATAATGATAATGATAATAATACTTATACAGGGAGCGATCTCACATAAAGTGGTTTTCAGAACGGCCTTTAAGTCTGTTAAGAATATCTATTAATTTAGTAAGTCTATTAATTAATCGAGTCAGACTTTTCTTTCTGAGCAGTCAAAACAGGAAGAGGCAGTGAAGCGTTACCAAGAACCTCGATTGACTGAGAAGGCAGAATGTATTAATCTACTTCAACCTGTAAAAAGCAGTTCTCATGTTGGCTGATTACGAAACTCTCTCGGGGAAGAAATGCGAAATATTGCTAAAAAATCAATAAAGCATATACAATCAATCTATTCCATACTTAGTATAGCGATTAAAACGCTTTACTTGTTGAGGTTAATGAGTTTTAACAGAGATTTTTTAATTCGCAAACAAAATGCTAAATCGCAAATTGCGACCAAAACTAGTTGTGCGCCAAATGGTTCTTACAAACCCTTGTTCACAAAGGGAAACATGTATATCACTAAAGTAAACTAAGTAAAATACTTAAGTAAAGTTTCGTTCGAACTAAAAAGTTTCTTTCATGTTAAAGAACATGCAGATCAGCAAGAACTTTGGTCTAGTTATTAAAAATGCCCACTGAATGCTTCACAAATTCTCGTAAGCAATGTTAGTTAATATATGAACCTCTCGCTATCTGGAGCTGAAATCGATTTGCTTTAGATACAATTTACTATGAAATCTTATCACTGGGAGTTTCTACCGAATGCTTACTGAATCCTGAATCCTGAATAACCTGATCACTAACTTCCACTGCAAGACTCTAAGAAGTTAAGTTAGTCAACTCAACTATATGTGCTCGATTTGTTAAAATTCTGTGTGATGGCTACCAATAACGGCATTAAAGATGCAGTTTATTTCAGTCTTCAGATCGACGGGATTAAAATTCCACACTTTATGGACAGACGCCTTCGGAACCTCGGAAGCCATCAGCTTCTTAGAACTGTTTTGTTTATCCACATGGATTTGCATTACTGAAAACCATTTGATCACATGAGGGCTGTCATGCATGTGTCCTCGTGATAGCCCTGATGATCTGATTAGATTATGGATCGTTTTTGAACGTCACCCTTTTTAAAACCGTTCTGTTTCGCTATGCAGAGGCATGTGTCGAGATTTACTTTAAACGAAAATTTTAAAGAAACAGTCAGGCGTATCGATAACATACATCTAAAATTGTCTGACAATGACTTGTGTAGACGTTGAAGACATAGTTTATAACAACTATGACTCGAGATTTCGACCGAAAAACAGCGGCCTTCGTCGGTTCTAAAAAGCCAGCTGAATAACGGCTATCTAACGGCTCACAACTCTGTGCCTGGTTCGCTAGCAAAATGGAACAAACGGCATGTACAGCTGCCTCGCCAGAGGCGATTACTCAATCAGTGAACGTATATAAATGTATATATATATATATATATATATATATATATATATATCAGTAATGTTGACATGTTTGCCGCATTGCTGTTTCTGTTGGAATACCACTAATACCAGGCCTCGAGAAAACATTTCTCATGATAGATATGAGCCTTGTCGGCGATGATGGCGGAATTTAAGTGTATGCCATCGCCAAACTAGCTGGAGAGCGTGTTGCGCAATCTTAGAGTTATTTGTCCCCAGCACAAACATCTTATGTTCTTTTATCTTTGCTACTAAGGGCCTTACTGAAATCTTTCGAGTTTCCCAAGAGTAATGCAGGTAAAATCGTGAACTGGCGGAAATGCCTGTGTCATTTGCAGGTTAGGAAAAAAACTTATTATCACCGCAAAGCGAAAAAGATTTGGAGACCGAGTTACTGCTAGATGCAAATTGCGCTCAGAATTTGACAGACCAACGCCATTTTTACAAACTAACATTTGCTGCAGACGCCGAAAACTGAGTTTTCATCACAAAATGTTGATAAGAATTAAGCGTTATGCAAATGCTGCATTCAACGCAACGCACAAAACCGGCCGCTACTTACCAAAGACCGTCCTCAGACTCTATGCTCGGAGAAACAAGAGAAGAAGTGAATAGATCGCGAAGCTTCGACGACCGCGAGTAATTGAAATTTTTAATTTGTCTAGGTTGTTGTCTAGGTTTTCATGGTTGTTGGTAATCACGTGAAGTACGAGTTTAGAAGGGTCGGGCTCGTGGGGGAGACCTCCCCAAGTGGGTTTTTCCACAATGTTTCAGCTAATTTAACATGAATGGTAACAGAAACATTGTTTTTAAGTGACGAAAGTAATTATTTGTGGGTTTGTTTTCTCCTTTGAGAACCTGATCAAAACTATTAGTACCTAACGGTATGTGTACATCCCTTCCAGCCCCTCCCCGGTACCCTTATAATTGGGTTATGAATATTTAAATTGCTGTTTACATCCTCAGTTTCCTAGATATAATCGTATTTCTGCCTTCAAGAGACTATCATCGTCTCTTGCTGTCTTTCATTTTTAAACAATTTAAAGCTGCAACGGGAGACTGAAAGATGTTGACATTGAATTGTGCCAGTTTACAGTCAGATGACGAATTTGTGAAAATGCGAATGCTTAAACCGTTTCCCCTTCTTTACAAGGTTCTTACCACGCTTATATTCGCACCCGATTTTTAATTTCTTTATATATCATTAAACTAAATTGAGTATAAAGCTTGATCTATCAAAAAATCTCCGATGGGTCTACAAGTAGGTCTCATCCCATCGATGTGAAATAGCCGTATGCAATGAAATCCTAAATATATGTTTGACCTCTTCATTTTATTATGACCTGGTAGATTGATGTGTTTAAATTGTGCATGAAACAAAAATACAGGTTTTTTTAATGTTAACGAGCCACATAAAAGACCATGATCAGACATATCCAGAGTGACATTAGCCGAATAATGGAATAGATCACAGAAGCTGGACTAATCTCGCGTATACTTCACTTCGATCATGTTTTGAAAGCGACTTGATGTTGCGTGTGCTGATATACACACGTAAAATTAAGTCAAGCGTGTGCTCTTGGGTAATTTTGAAAAGGACTCCAGATATGAGCGCCGTAATACATGGATTTTAGTATGGGTTACTAGCCACACTATGTCGGCATCCGCGAAGTTTGTCAGTTTACGAGAAGTTTGTCAGTTGGCGAGAAGTTTGTCAGTTTGCGAGAAGTTTGTCAGTTTGCGAGAAGTTTGTCAGGCTACGTGAACAAGTGTCACATAGTTGTTAGCTAATTCGCATATTTGTTAACTAATTTGAGATAAGGCTGGAATGCTTTGTTTTTCTGATCGTTCGTTTTCAGGCAAGTTTTCCTACGTGGTAAAATGGTTACGAAACTCATCTTCCAATCTGAAATAGTGGACCCGAGTTCGATTCCAGGATCCGATTT